TCCCATCGCCTTTGAGGTATCAAGGTCACTTAAGAGCTTCTTCACCTCCTCCTCGGTTGTTCGTATGCCATCCAACACTTGTTGGTATATTCCCTCTTGATGTTCCCTTCTGTGCTGTCTTCCCACAGCCCTTCCTGTCTCTACTGTAAAAACTTCCTTAAATCTCCTGTTTAGCTCCTCACATACCTCCTGATCATTTCTTGTGAGTTCTCCACCTTCTGTCCTTAATCTGATCACCTGGTCTTTGTTGTATAGCCACATCAGGAGGAAGACAACAGTTTCGGGTCAGTCTTGATTCTCGATGCTATGTCATTTTCATACTGTCGCTGGGCCTCCCTCCTTACCTGTGCATACTCATTCCTGGCTCTGCGACTGATCTCCCTATTTTCGTGTGTTCTCTGCCTTCTGTACTTTTTCCATTCTCTATTGCACTTGGTTTTAGCCTCCTTAAATCGTCGGGTAAATCAGGGGCTCGTTCTGGTTTTCCCGTTGTTTCTGTTGCCCTTGTGTGTGTGTGTGTGTGTGTGTGTGTATTATTGGTGTATTGTTGTGTGTGTGTATTATTGTGTGTATTGTTGTGTGTGTGTATTATTGTGTTATTGTTGTGTGTGTGTGTATTGTGTGTATTTTTGTGTGTATTGTGTGTGTGTGTGTGTATTGTTGTGTGTGTGTATTGTGTGTGTGTGTGTATTGTATGTATGTTTGTGTGTGTATTATTGTGTGTATTGTGTGTGTATTATTGTGTGTGTGGTGTGTTATTATTGTATGATTGTGTGTGTGTGTACTCACGTAGTTGTACTTGCCTAGTTGTGGTTGCAGGGGTCGATTCACAGCTCCTGGCCCCTCTGTGCGTGTGTGTGTGTGTGTGTGTGTGTGTTGTGTGTGTGTATTGTATGTGTGTATTGTATGTGTGTGTGTCGTGCCGAATAGGTAAAACTTGCTATTTTGGCTTAAATAGCAACGCTCTTCTTGCCGAATAATTCAAGCGAAAATTTGTGTATGCAATATTTCACAAAAATCATTCTGAACCTAACGAAACAAATATATTTTATTGTTTGCTTATTATTAAATTATTGTAAACTTACCTAAAATATATTTAGTTGAATTAGGCTAAATTAAATGCGCTTGTTATAATAAGATTAAGTTTTCTAAGATTCTTTTGGTACAAAATTATTAATTTTTGCATTAACATAAATGAAAAAAAGTCTTGAAACGTACAAGAATTATTTTTAGAAAGGAATTAATTTTAAATGAGTTCTTGCTAATTGACCAGTTTTACATATTCGGCACGACATATATATATATATATATATATATATATATATATATATATATATATATATATATATATATATATATATATATATATATATATATATATGTCGTGCCGAATATGTAAAACTGGTCAATTAGCAAGAACTCATTTAAAATTAAGTCCTTTCTAAAATTTTCTTTTATACGTTTAAAGATATATTTTTTCATTAATGTTAATGTAAAAAATTTTAATTTTGCATCAAAAGAATCTTAGAAAACTTACCTAACCTTATTATAACAAGAACAATTTATTTTAGCCTAACCCAACTAAATATATTTTAGATTTGTTTACAGTAATTTAATACTAAACAAACACTGAAATATATTTTTTTCGTTAGGTTTAGAATGATTTTGGCGAAATTATTGCATACACAAATTTTCACTTGCCCTATATGGCAAGATGAGCGTTGCTATTTAAGCCAAGATCGCAAGTTCTACTTATTCGGCACGACATATATATATGAATACATTGGTGCAATATATCAAAGGTTATGAATCTCCTCTCGCTCCTCCGAAGCCGGACGCGATCCCAGTATGCAGCATGCATTTCCCCTCAGTATGGCTAGGCTGACGCGCTGGAACATGAAAGTGGGTGCTCTTGGGTCCCTGGTGGTGTCGATGAGTCTGGAACAAGTTCTTTAAGAAAACATGTGGCATTTTTTGGCTTATGTCCCTGTACTTGCCGATCTTGTACTCCTCCCTGTGGTCAGCAGCTCCTCCCTGTCGCTCAACACTGTGATGGATATAGGTGTCAGCCAGTGTGGACACACAGGTATAGTCCTATGCTAAGAGCTTGCCATTCTTCCAAGGGTAGATGATCCCATCGGGGTGGTTTGCTGGGTTGTGGGTATTGTTGGCTGCTAGTGATTCCCTCTCGGCTGGGCATCCAGCTGTAGCAAGGGTTCTCTTTATGATATCATTGGCCTCATTGTGTCTTGCATGCCAGCCCTTGGTTTTGGAACAGTTAAGATCATGTAGACCATATTGGTCGGCTTGTACATCGCCGTAAATACACGTATATTCCGTGTGAATTGGGGCAGCAAGGCCCAGAGCTTAGGGTCGAGGCGTGTTCCCATTGCCGAAATGGGAACTGTTTGGAGGAAGTCCCCGGAGTGATGTGCGCTCACAGCTTGGAGATGGGCAATCGCCTTGTCTGATGTTACAGCCCTGAGCACCATGGCAAGCACCTTTTCAGCGATGGGGCCATCCCAGCTTGACTGTAGGCCAGTGCTGCACTAGGGTTTGGTGATGGAGCAGCAAGAGTCTCCCATTCAGGGATGGCACTGGAAATAAGTCACTCTGTCTGGCTTTTTTGGGTTATCCTAGGTTCTCTACACATATGCTGCTATGTATGATAATTCTATGTAACTGTATTTGTGTATACCTGAATAAACTTACTTAGTTAGGGTCCTGTATTCCTGCTGAGTCACTGAGGTTGTCCAGAAGAATTTGTCTTAACTCATTTGATGCTATGGTAGGGCAATCTGGGAGGTTCTGCGTACTCCCAGCCCCCCAAGCCTGACTGGAAGTGAGGCTTGCATCCACTGTCCATCTTTGAGGGAAAGATTCAATGCACTTTCTAGCATGTTCTTAAGGAGAGTCATATTCCTTAAGTTTCGGACTGCTGAAGGCTGAGGAGCATCTCAGAGAGTAGGTAAGTTTTGGAACTGACAGGCACCTGGTGAGTAGGTAGAAGGCATCATGTGTATCGATGTCTTTCATCCTGCCTTCGTGTCCTGAGGTTTGAGACTCTTTTTTCTAGAATCAGATCGATGGCACTGGACCCAAGAGGAGCACCAAGAAGAGTGCTGTTGGCTGGATCAATGGCTCGTGCTCCTGGTAAAACAGCACTAATATTCTTGGTCATCTGTCGATTGGTAAAAACTATTTCACATTTGTTGGGGTTTAAAGATAGGCCCAGGCTTTCTCCCATGTCTTTAATTTTTCTGATGTCCTCTAGGAGAGATTCTATAGTGCCAGCTAGTGTACCATCATCCAAGAACCAGATATTGAGCTCATGGAAAGTGCTTCTCTGTCTTCCTTGATTACCAAACAGAATAGAAAGGAGGCGAGAGGGTCTCCCTGTTGCACACCCTTACACGAGTCAATTTCATGGTTCCCAAACAATAGTTTAGAAGTCACACTATAACACGATTCTATAAAGGGACAGAGGTAAGGGGAGAGTCTTGAAACTGCTTGGAAAGCATCATCCCTTCTGACTAAGTTGAAAGCGTTGGCGAAGTCCAGTTTGATCAAGGCTTTTTCATCGGACAAATTGTTGATGTATACTCGCGCTGCATGGGCAGCTGCTTCACAGCCTTGTTGAACACCAAAACCGAGCTGAGTTGGTTTCATCATTGCAGCAGCCTCTTGGCTCACCATTCTTACTGCAGCCTTGGCGACTAGGAGCCGAAGGGTGTTACCCACTGCAATGGGCCTGATTCCTCCATCTTTTTTCCGGAGGGCACACAATGAGGCACCAAAGAAAAGGGGTCTAATAGCCTCTGGGACACTGCCAGCCAAGCACACATTGGAAAATTTGGCGAGTTCAGAGGTTGCATCACCAAGTGCTGGATTGAGCATTTGTTTTAAGTGTTGAGGCCTTAAACCGGTGAAACCTCCTGCTGAGCCCTGTGGAAATGACATAGCAGCTTTATACACATCAGCACCCCTAAGGTTGAATGTTCTTCACCTGCTGCAATGTCGTGGAGGTCAGTGTTGGTACTGGGAGCCCTGGGTGGATGTTTGTCCATCAGGGCTTGTGCCGTACTGACGTCCTTGGGAGCGATGGTATCCTCACTGGTTATAAGCCTCAGAGCTCCAATAGTATTACCCTCTTCTATTTTTTTGCTATTTTGGGCTCTGTTTTTTGAGGCGTCAGGTGTCCTGTTGTTGGCATTTTCCCGGTGGGTGTTTGTCGCCCTAGGGGGTAGACGGACGAGGTTGTCATATATGTAAATCTATAGGGGAAGGAAGGCGGGGTAGGGGTCGTCCTCGAAAATGTTGGACTGAGGGGCTAGTGGAGGTTTTGTGGGCGAGGGGCTTGGACTTCCAACAAGCGTGCATGAGCGTGTTAGATAGGAGTGATTGGAGACGAATGGTTTTTGGAACCTGACGAGCTGAAGTGTAAGCAGAGTAGTATTTAGTGATGGGATCCAGGGAATCCGGTTATTTTTGTATAGCCGGACTTGAGTACTGGAAATGGGAAGTACAATGCCTGCACTTTTAAGGAGGGGTTTGGGATATTGGCAGTTTGGAGGGATGTGTAATAGGACGGTATATATATAATTAGGGCCCTGATATTGCATTCTACATGGAGTTTATTATATTATTTCAGGTCACTTTTTATATTGTATCTTTATACATGCTTCTAAACTGTTGTATCTGGGCGCCTCTGCAAAAACAGTGATTATGTATGAGTGATTGTAAAAGTGTTGAATGATGAAATCATTTTCGTTTTGGGAATAAAATAAAACTATTGTATAATTATTTCATTCTGAGGTGCTGGAAAGCGCTAAACTTTAAAGGTCATTCAGTGCGTAAATCACAATAGCAACAGCTGATCCATTCATAGGCAAACTTCGTTGTGAAGACACTCATTCACTAATCCTTGACTCTTTGTGTTGCAGGTCAACGTGTGGCAGTAGCACCATCACTAGCACTAACCCTTAACCTTTGTGTTGCAGGTCAGCTGGTAACAAAGGCAACACCAGCTCCACTACTAATCTGGTCACCAGTTGGAAGGATAAGGACAAGCCCAGACAGCCAGTGTTCCAGAGGGACTGGTACGACGTCCACACCTGAGCCAGTCACAGGCGCCTCCCAACGTTGAATTAGTATTATTATATGCAAGGGAGGAAGCGCTTTTCCCGTGTGCGTCATGTAGCGCCTGGGTAATGGGAGGTAATCAGGTTTGATCCGTGTAAGGGAGGAGAGTAGTAGCTCCTATCCGCTGGAACGAAGCTGGTATCACTCTCTTCTAGGCATGAATCTCGTCAGAGCTTCTTGTGTAAACCACCTCCCCTGCCCCTGGTAAATTCTACCAATAGTATATATATATATCTCCAGAAGAACACAATCCGCCACCGGAACCTCGTACCAATGAAGTCTTCCACAGGAGGGCCATTGGTACCTCCCACTGGCTGGAATGCCCACTGGAGTCATTCACTGAAATTACTATACTGTTGACCTACCCATCATAACAACAGTGTGATATCTCTCATATCCAGTGGATCTCATCCAAACAGCTTAGATATGGATCACCTGGTGTTTCATCCAAGGTGTTACACTCTGATCCACTCTCCCCCCCCCCCCCTTCACTCCCCAAAACACCACACACGACATGGTTTCCTGTCTATCAGTGAGACCTAAAAGCAGGTCTGGTAATGTAACCTAGTCAAGCTGAAAGAGGAGGTAAAAAAGATCAGGCTGGAACAACAGTTGCTTGAAAGAATAACTCAGAACAACAGCAGAGGAGGTGAAACGAGAATCGAGAATCAGGAACGAATAGCAACAATCAATATTTACGATAAACAGAAGCCAGTAACTGCTGAATGGAAGAAAAGGAAGATAGAACAACCCCTGTGGACAGACACACCTGTGGAAACACATGTAAGGTTCCTCAAGGTCGTCCTGCCTCTGTACCTGAACACTCCCTAAAAGTGTGATGAAACACACATTAGGGCGCAAACAAATAGTATATCAAGTTACCGGACCCCGTGGCGCAAAATATGTTTATTTTAAGAGGCATTCTGACGGGTTTAACCTAGGAAAAAAATGGGTTTCGTCGCTGGAAATTAGGTTACGTGACTGAAGACAAGGTTACGTGACTGAAGACAAGGTTACGTGACTGAAGACAAGGTTACGTGCGAAGACAAGGTTACGTGACTGAAGACAGGTTACGTGACTGAAGACAAGGTTACGTGACAAACAAGGTTACGTAAACGAAGACAAGGTTACGTGACTGAAAGATAAGGTTACGTGGACTGAAGAAAGGTTTCGTGACTGAGACAAGGTTACGTGACTGAAGACAAGGTTACGTGACTGAAGACAAGGTTACGTGACTGAAGACAAGGTTACGTGACTGAAGACAAGGTTACGTGACTGAAGACAAGGTTACGTGACTGAAGACAAGGTTACGTGACTGAAGACAAGGTTACGTGACTGAAAACAAGGTTACGTGACTGAAAACTAGGTTACGTGCTGGCAATTTCTGAGGCAGTGTCGTTAAGTGATCTGCTGTAGGTACCATGAAAATACCAGCGATGCAGCAATACAGTACAGCACGGCAGCACTGCGTCATTGTTGCGAGGGGCGGCGAGGCTGTCATTAAACAGAAAACATTTTCATAGAACTATCGAACCAGCATAGGTGACTTGTGACCAGAGCCTTCACACGGTGCGGCTAGGGAGGGAATCTCATGTTCTACGGCTCTCGGAGTGATGCATCTCCTGGCCCCACCCCACTGTAGGCTGGTTCCAGAGTCTCCGGAGTGAGAAGTGTCTGCTGGAACGCCTGTGTAAAGGAACGCCTGTGTGAAGGAACACCAAGAGAATAAAAACACTAGGACACACGTCAAGGAGCGACAGTCTTGAGACAGAAACTACTTAAGATTAGCGTAAAGAAAACATTTGCACATCTTAAACTAAGACGAAGACAAGAAGGGACCATCCCAGGCTCTCGGTCATGGCAAGTCGGGGGCGATACATCACTCTCTCCAGTGTACAACTACGCTACCTCCCCCTTAGACCAGCTAAACCTTAGGGGGGGCTTAGCATATTCTTGGGGAAGCACTTAATCCGCAAGGGGAGACGGCGCAAATCCACTCCCAAGGAAAAATGAGCTCCATTTTCATGGATAAAGAGCTCTTCAGCCATGTCTTCAGACAAGGACTCTGTCACTCACTGTAGCATTACATTGGGGGAAGCGCTAAACTCGTAATAGGGTATACAGCGCTTGGGGAATGGAAGGTAATCAGGCTTGATCCTAGGAAGCAGCGTAGATGGGTCCCTCATTAATTCACACAAGATGCCAAATGTAATTTTTAATAGCCCATTATTATTATTATTATTTATTATTATTATTATTATTATTTATTATTTTTATTATTATTACTACTACTGATGTACCACTGAAGTATTACTTTGATCACTGTGAATATAAATGTGTAGCTGGCTGTACATAGAGGCTTTTTATTGTAAATAATGGAGCACAAGTTACCATTGTGATATATTATTGTGATATGCTAGCTATCAAGATGGATATAAATATATCTAGTATACCCAGGAAGAACCAAACTTATATACTTAAAATTATTCAAATGTTAACACGAAGGATTTTACTTATATATATATATATATATATATATATATATATATATATATATATATATATATATATATATATATATATATATATATATATATATATATATGTATATATATTACAGGAAAGTACTCTTGCAAGCTTATCAACTACACGAGGGTCTTAAAGGCTGTATGTTAACATGTACACCAAGAGTACTCTAGTGTACGTAAACATTGACATATGTGCATGTATATGCACTGCTGCTCATACTGATCAAGAGAGATGTATCCATTAAAATATTACTAATATAAAGTTATATTTGGGTTTAATATATATATATATATATATATATATATATATATTATATATATATATATATATATATATATATATATATATTTGTTTTTTTTTCAACAAGTCGGCCGTCTCCCACCGAGGCAGGGTGACCCAAAAAAGAAAGAAAATCCCCAAAAAGAAAATACTTTCATCATCATTCAACACTTTCACCACACTCCACATTATCACTGTTTTTGCAGAGGTGCTCAGATACAAAAGTCTAGAAGCATACACATATAAAGATACACAACATATCCCTCCAAACTGCCAATATCCCAAACCCCTCCTTTAAAGTGCAGGCATTGTACTTCCCATTTCCAGGACTCAAGTCCGACTATATGAAATAACCGGTTTCCCTGAATCCCTTCACTAAATATTACCCTGCTCACACTCCAACAGATCGTCAGGTCCCAAGTATCATTCGTCTCCATTCACTCCTATCTAACACGCTCATGCACGCTTGCTGGAAGTCCAAGCCCCTCACCCACAAAACCTCCTTTACCCCCTCTTTCCAACCCTTTCGAGGACGACCCCTACCCTCCTTCCTTCCTCTATAGATTTATATGCTTTCCATGTCATTCTACTTTGATCCATTCTCTCTAAATGACCAAACCACCTCAACAACCCCTCTTCTGCCCTCTGACTAATGCTTTTATTAACTCCACACCTTCTCCTAATTTCCACACTCCGAATTTTCTGCATAATATTTACACCACACATTGCTCTTAGACAGGACATCTCCACTGCCTCCAACCGTCTCCTCGCTACTACATTTACCACCCAAGCTTCACATCCATATAAGAGTGTTGGTACTACTATACTTTCATACATTCCCTTCTTTGCCTCCATAGATAACGTTTTTTGACTCCACATATACCTCAACGCACCACTCACCTTTTTTCCCTCATCAATTCTATGATTAACCTCATCCTTCATAAATCCATCCGCCGACACGTCAACTCCCAAGTATCTGAAAACATTCACTTCTTCCATACTCCTCCTCCCCTGATATCCAATTTTTCTTTATCTAAATCATTTGATACCCTCATCACCTTACTCTTTTCTATGTTCACTTTCAACTTTCTACCTTTACACACATTCTCAAACTCATCTACTAACCTTTGCAATTTTTCTTTAGAATCTCCCATAAGAACAGTATCATCAGCAAAAAGTAACTGTGTCAATTCCCATTTTGAATTTGATTCCCCATAATTTAATCCCACCCCTCTCCCGAACACCCTAGCATTTACTTCTTTTACAACCCCATCTATAAATATATTAAACAACCATGGTGACATTACACATCCCTGTCTAAGACCTACTTTTACCGGGAAGTATTCTCCCTCTCTTCTACACACCCTAACCTGAGCCTCACTATCCTCATAAAAGCTTTTTACAGCATTTAGTAACTTACCACCTATTCCATATACTTGCAACATCTGCCACATTGCTCCTCTATCTATTACTACTGAAGACTGTTTATATTGGCATTAGTTTAGATACATAGCAACAAATGGCATCTTTTTACGTACTCTTGCCGTCACTCTCAATACTTTATATTTTCTTGGAATTAATAGGTGTCTGCGTGGAAATATATCAGTAGGTGAAATAAGTAGAGATGAATATACTTTAATATATAATAAACAGTAATAAGACGTTACTTGTATGTATATTTTAAATTCGTTAAATAAATGTTGATGGTATATGGCAACTTCTGCGGGTTATGGTATTGCCAAATGTCACAATTAAACACTTAATTTATTTTATCTTAAATTGTCTGGTGAGAGGGTATTAATAAAATAGTTTTAACATGCAGGAAGAAAAATTTGTTTCTATATAAAAGATGAAGGATGTTGGTGGTCTCCTCCAGCGTGACCGTCCACTGGTTCGAATCACCAAAACTGCCCAAGGCCATGACAGTTACTTACCAGGTGTTGTTGTAACCACTACCACACCCACCACCACTACCACACCCACCAACCACTTACCCCCCCAACCACCCTACCCCTACCCCAACCACTCACTACAACTCACTCTTAAGTCATTCGCCTCCACTCTCTACATCCAAACCAACAACCCTTCCCACCATCACAACAAATGACCACCCCTCTCACCACCACCAATACCACACCATCCACCTCGACATCTCGCCCCTACCTCCACACCACCCCAACATCACACCCACCTCCAAACACCAATACCAGCAAATACCAACCATCCCCTCCCCAGGTCGTGGCCTGGTGGCCAAAGCTCCCTATCACACACTTTAGGGCCCGGATTCGATTCCCGCTTTTGGAAACATTCACCTACACTCCAAGAGGTACTGGTGTATCGACTGGTGTGGTCGCACTGACTTCAGGTATCCTGTGCTACCCTCCATGGTTAAAAATCCGAACAATCTTATCCCTAACTACCTTTCCATTACACCTTACTCATTAACCCACCAGCCCCTGCTTGCACCCCAGACCAAACACCGTATCACCACTACCAGCCCTTACCATCATTATCACGCTTTACCTCTACTACCCAGCCCCCACCACCATTTACCCAGACCAGCCCCCTACCACCACTACCAGCCCCGTCACACACATCTTTCTAGCCTACTTTTCTGGAAAAAATTTCTTCTTTCTACATACTCTAACTTGACCTCACTAATTTCCTCGAAAACTCTTCACTGCTTTCCCGTAAACCCACCTCCTTCACCATCACTTGCAACATCGCCACATTGCCCCCCCTTTCCCCCCTGTCATACGCCTTTTTTCCAAAACCATAAAAGCCACAAAGACTCTTTTGCCCTTAAAACAAATACTGTTCACTTATATGTTTCACTGTAAACACCTGGGCCCCCACACCCCCCACCTTTCCTAAAGCCTCCTTGTTCATTGCTTCCTATTTTTCCGTCTTACTTTAATTCTTTCAATTATAATCTACCTACCTTTACCCCGGTTTCCTCACGACTTTCCCCCTATAATTTTTGCACTCTCTTTTTTCCCCTTTGCCTTTATACAAAAGGGAATATCTGCTCTCTGCCAATCCCTAGGTACCCCTTACCCTCTTTTTTCCTACATTTATTAAAAATTGACCAACCCTCCAAAAATATTCCCCACCCGCTTTTAACTTTCTTTTTTTATCCCATCAATCCCGGCTGCCCTTTCCCCTTTCATTTTCCTACGCCTCACGAACTTCCCCCCCACTACAAATGGCTCTTCCTCATCCCACAAGTGTTATTCCTCCTTGCCCTAAACGAAATCAAGCTTCCCCACTTCATAACATTTAACAAATTTCCCCAAAATATTTCCCTTTCCCTCTTCCCCAAAACCCTAACTTCCATTTAAAAACTCTCCTCTCCTTTTTTTAATGACAAATCCTTTGTTCTCTAGGCTTCTTAATTTTTAATCTCACTCCAAAACTTTTTCTTATTTTCAACAAATTTTTTTGATAAATCTCACCCCTCCCTCATTTGCTTCTTTTTACATTCTTCACCATTTTCTTAAAATTCTCTCTTTTTCTCAATATCTTTTCCTCCCTTTCATCACTTCTACTTTGTAAAAAATTTTCATATGCTAATTTTTCTCCCTTACTAATTCTTTACATCATCTTTTCCCCCAATGCTCCTTTTCCCCTGCACCCCTTTTTCCCGTAACCAAAACTTCTGGAACACCTAACACTACATTTTTAAACCTACCCCTTACCTCTTCGACCCCCCTTCCATGCTTCATTAGCCCATCTATCCCCCAATAGTGTTTATATTTTCCCTAACTGCCCCTCTTTTAGTTTTTTTAAACCTTTACCCCCTTTTTTCCCCGATGCTTCTATTTCCTTGTCCCTCACCTTTTTTTTCCCCCGTGTAGCTACAACTAGAAAGTGGGTTGATTTATCTGTTACTTATATGTATATTTTAAAATTTGTTTTAAAAAAAAAGTTGTGGTATATGGCAATTCTGCGGGGGATGGTATTGCCAATGTCACAATTAAAACTATTTTTTTTTATTTAAATTGTAGGTGATATGGAGTTTAATAAATGAGTTTTACATTTAGGAAAGAAAAATTTTTTTTTATATAAAATGATGAAGGTTTGGGTTTGGGGGTGCTCCTCCCAGCGTGACGCACTGGTCGTCACCACAACTGCAATTGGGATGAAAGTTATACAGGGGGTTTTTTAAAAAACCCACCCACCACCACTACCACACCCCCACCACTACCACCCCCCCCCCCTACCCCCCCAACCACCAACCACCCCAACCACACTACCACCCAAACCACCTACCCCCTCAACCACCCCACCAATACCCCCACCACCAATACCACCCCCACCACCCCAATAAAAACCCAACCCCCACTACCTCTCGCCCCTACTCCCCAAACCCGCCCCAATCATCACTATCACCCCAAACACCACTACCAGC